AGTCACAACAGGGCTGCGGCCCCCCAGCCCCACGGACTTTTCCTCATTTCTAACGTTTTCTGACTAAGGAGACAGAGAAATGTAAGTTGAAGCTGATCTGAGAAACAACCCGAAAATCACCCTGTCCTGCTTCATGTTGGTTTCCAGCCCCTCAATATGACATTTTTTATTCCAAGTGATTTCATTTTTGTGTTTGCAACAGCTTAAGACCATGCTGCCAAAATGACTATGTCACCTGCAGCTGAAACATACGGGCAGAAAAAAGAGCAAATTGGATCCACAGCTGCTGTTTCCTCTTTCTATAGATCAGCAGCTTCCAGTGCAGTGAGGGGCAGTCAAGCATCCATATGACAAAGAAACCCACAGGACCCTAATTGGCTTATGGCCACTGGCTCGCCCTGGCACTGGTTAGCTACACGAAAGAGCATCTATTCCCCGTGGGCCAAAGTCACCAGATAATAACACTTTTTACAAAAGCAATAAAAGTTACTATGGTAGAGAAAAATGTTCCTTACCCTGCAAGATAGCTCTGTCCCAACTGAACGTTTCTTTCAGCACGCACTTCTGAAACACATAAGGAGGTAGCTTGGGCTGCCTCTCTGACCCACACTCAGTGGATCCATGTGAAATTTTTTTTCTAAATCAAAATCGGGACACATGGTCTGAGAACAGACTGTAACCGACAGGAAGTCAACTCCTGGCCGGTATTTGCAGACAGACATCTCTGGCAGGCTCTCGGGGAAGGAGGCGGGGGTGCCACAGCACTCAGAAGGCCTGCACCCAATCTGAACCACTCGTCAGAACGTGCTCAATTCTGCCTCCAACTCCTCCCGGACAGGAGGACACCGTATTCATAGTGGCCAAACTGCAGGTAATTCATTCTGTCTTTAAGCCAATCCCCAAAGATACCAAGAAATCAATCTAGGGGGGTAAAAAATCACTGCTTAATGCTTTCTAAAAATCTTGCTTTCGTGGAAATTCAACTCAAGTTTATAGTTTGGCAACATGAACAAGGATATTACCGATCTATATTTACATGTTTGTCCCTGCCCTGGGTCCCCCTGTGTCCAGTATGGACCTCCCAGTGTGACCACCTCTGTCTCTGGGACGGGTCTCTCCTTTGCTGGGACCAGGGAGACCACCCGTAGTGGGCCCCAGGGCAGGAGCAGCTGGAACTCCTGCTCTTGCACCAAGGACAGAGATGAAGAGTGCACCGCTCCCTCTGCAAATGAGCTGCTCCTCAACACAGACAGGCCGGGGGCTCCCATGTACTAGTCCCACCAGGCTGGTGAACCAGGCAGGTGGCTCCATTTCCCCATCTGTAAAATGGGACCTGGATCTGCCTCCTGAGGTAATAGAGGCAGCAGGGAGGTGCTGGCTGACAGCAGCAGCTTTCCTTCATTGCACACGTGTGCCAGGCACGGTGCTACTCCCCACAGGCCATCTGTAGTCTTCACAGCAACCTGCAGACTCACTGTTATTAGCCTCATCTCACAGACAGGTAAACTGAGGCTCAGAGAGGTTCAGTAGCAAGGCCACAGAGCATGAGTGGGGTCCAGCCTTGCTGACATACCAGGTTCACAGGGCTGTCCAACCTGGGGTGGGACAAGGCGGGGGGAAGGAGGCCACTCCCCAGGGACCAGGGCTCATCCAGCAGTCCTGAGGGCCACACCGTTCTACACGTCATCATCAGCAACTCATCCAAATTGTTAAGAAAAACTACCCCAAATGTGGAAGCCAGGCAACACGATTTCAGCATACCCCATCAATGTCACACTCTACTCTAAAAGGAGGGGTGGGCAAACTATGGTCCACAGGCCAAATGGCCTGGTGCTGTTGTTAAAAGAAAAAAAAAAA